TCTTCACTGAGGAAGGTCTCATGTGTCTTCCAACTATGCACAGATGGATGAAATTATTATTCTTGTTTCTCTCCCTAGAAAGTCAGAAGGATCCATGTGTCCTAATGCTATATCCTTTATTTGGTGGGACAGCTTGGCATAGTGGGTAGAGCCAGGAAGATGTGGGTTCAAGTTTTGTGTCTAAGACATACTGGCTGTGTGACTTCTCAGTGCTCCAGGCTCTTACTAAGATTATATATAGGGGTGTAGCTGCATTGGTAGAGGGAATTTCCTTACCTGAGAGCTCCCTATCCCAATAAAATCAGCACATGTCCTCGAGCCCAGATTCTATCTAACACAGTGCTAGCTAGACCCATGGATGAGACTCACTGAATTCTTATTGATTGAGGGAGGGCCTCTACAGAAATCCAACTTTGATGCCTCATTGGTGCATGGAGGCAGTGGTGTGCTGGAGTCAGCTTGAACAAACTCCTAAAAACTGATTTTTAACTTTTCAGTGTGAACATTTACATGTTAGGAACTGCAAAAGGTACAAAGCAGGATAGGATTTATTGTTTTATTCATAGTGTAGACTTAAGAAAGGGATGAAGAAAGTATAAATAATACAGAGTAAATGTAAAAGTTGGTCATGAGAATAGCAGTGGCAGGATAGCTTGTCCCATGGAAAAACACCCATATAGGCACTCAATAAATGTTTGCCGGGTGAATGAATGAGTCAGAAATTTTGAGTGAGTGCCTGTGCTCAGCACACCAGGGGAACTGACCATTCTCATGAAACCATCAGCAGGCTTACCCTAAGATTAAAGCTGCCAGGGAGGGAGTCATTAGACAGAAAGGTGTCTGATTTGTAGGTTTAAAGTTACATATTTAACAAACTGGAGCAGTATAAAATGGTTATGTCTGAAATGATTGATTTACTTGCGGGTTCAAAAGAGAAAAAAACCAACTTTCAAGATGAATTAATGGAAAAGATCCGTCCCCTCTCACTTTTCAGACAGTCTGACTTTAAACTGAAGACACAAAATTTGGAAAGTGCTCAAAGTCCCCAAGGTGGAAGGGACCTCAGAAGCTATCTTGTTCCATGTGTCCCTGAGCAGAAATGTGCTCTAAACATCCTTTCGATCTAGTCTCCGGAGAGGGAGAGCTCACATCCCATGCAGCCCAATCCATGTTGGGACAGCTCTAAGTATTAGTAAATTTTTCCTTCATTGAGTCTAACTCTGCCTCTCTGTACCTTCTGCTCCCTGCTCCTAGTTCTAACATCTGGGGCTAATCAGAAAATGTGTAATGATAACTAATTAGATTACTAATCCCTCTTTCTTATGGCATCACATACAAATACATGAAGAGCTAACATGTCCACCCTTCTCCTTCAGATTAAACACCACCAATTCCTTCAGTGGGTCTTCATGTGACAAGAAGTTATGTCCCTTTACCATGCATATCTTAAGAAATACTGTGAGGAATAGCCTATTTCTGGGCCCTAGCTGGACAATGGGACTCCATGTTTGACCACTTATTGGCCTGCCTCTCTGACCACTGATTGACCTCAGAAGTTTCCACATTCCCAACAATTGCCTTGGTTGGCTATACTTAGTGTTTGAGATGTGAGGTTGGCAAACTTCATTTAATCCAGGTGTGTAAGGTTAGCTAACTTTCCTAGTCTCAATGTTCATGTGATTGAGCAGGTGGGTGTCAGTCCAGACCACCTGCTGCATGACTAGCTTCTCAGGTCCCCTCCCACTCAGGCCTGTGAATTAGCCCAGCAACAACAATCAGCTATAAAGACAGTGACCTGGGAGTTGCAGGATCTTGATAGGGATGCACTGCCCAAGCCCCTGAGGCATATCTATGGGACTGAAGAGTGAGGAGCCACACACACACTGACATACCTGTGAGTAAGAAGCTGCCTGAATTGTGATCTTTCCTTCCAGGTACCTCCTCACCATACCATGATTTACTTTGAACTTAGCTGACAACAAGGGAAAGAAGCTTGAGGTCATTGTTGACCCTGATGCTGTGGATATTGGCCCAACTGTCAACAGATGCTGGGCCTAAAATGCTCATTGGAGAGGTGGCAAGCGGATGGACTATTTCAAATCAGAGAAGGCAGAGACAGAGTCAGGCCCATGCTAACCTGTGACCTAAATGCTCTTGTCTCTGCCTCCATCCTTCATCATAACCTCTCTCTGCCTCCTCCCCCTCCTGAAGTCACACATGTTGCCCAGGGAACCCAACTGTGGTGACCCAAACAAAGCCAGCTCTGGCCTCTTCCTGACATAAAAACTTGCTCTCCTGGCCCCGTTCCCATTGAGTCCTGCTCCTAATGAATTGTCCTATGGGAAGCAGGGGGTAGGGAAGGGGATAAACATTTGCATAGGAACTAGTACCTGACAGGTACTGTGCGAAACTCCTTTTATTAACATTATCTCATTTGATTCTCATAAAAATTTCATGAGGTAGGCACATTTACTAATCCCATTTTAGAGTTTGGGAAACTGAGCAAACAAAGGTTAAGTAACTTGCCCAGAGTCACGCATCATTTGTCTGAGGCCGAATTTGAACTCAGCTCTTTCAGATTTAGCACTTTATCCAAGTCTCACTAACTGCCTCATAAGCAGTTGTAACCTAAAATGAGACAAAAGTGAGATAATGCCTCCCCTCAAGGAGCTCATAGTCTACTAAGGGGAGTAGTGGAAACATAAAAATGCATACATTCACACTAATACAGGAGGAAATCATGAAATGCTTCTGGAAGAAAGGGACACCTCTGACCTTTGAAAGAAGGGAAGGATTTCCAGAGATTGAGGTGAGAAGGGAGAGCATTTAATGCATAAGTGGGTGAGAACCCTAACCCTCACCCTAACTCTGGTGTGTGTGTGTGTGTGTGTGTGTGGATATATATATACATATACACACACATATGTATATATACTTGTATATGTGTTTGTTTATATGTATGTATATATGTACATGTAAACATATACATATAAAATAATATACTTACATATGCATGTGCACATATACATATATACACATACATACATTTATATAGTATATGCACAAATGATATACATATATACACATGCATATGTATATACACACATACACCCATGCATGCATGCATGCATATCTATCTATCTGTCTATCTATCTTAGTCCTGACCTGGTTTCCTTCAGGAGTAATGGCCAGTTGGAAGTGAGAGGATACCAAGACACATTGGTAAGTAATGGTTCATCTTTGAAGGGAAGTGAAGGCATATTACTCAGTTTTTGTGAGGTAGGGATTTGGGTTTCTCCTGAAAGTTGTCAAGTTCTCAAAGGGGCTCCTTGGTGAATTTCCTCTTGGGCTCCCTGGAGACAGTCAGTATGATATAGTGCACCGGGAGCAGGCTCAAGAGTCAGGAAGTTCAGGGTTCAAGTCCTACTTCTCATGTATCCTAATTGTCTGTCTTCTGCTTACCTCTCTAGATCTAAAAGTGGTAGAGAAGTCATCTCTCTGCTTTGGTAGGGACAGTTCCTCCTCTGGAGCCCCCACTGTCTATTAAATCACAGATTTTTTTTTTTATCTCAGTTGTAAACTGCTAATTACCTCCATATTGCCATACCCAAAATCCGTTGTCATAATGCACCTCTCCAGGCTACTGCCTTCTACTTAACCATATTGGCAGCAAGCTACTCCCTCTCCCAAAATGACTGCACCTGTAGTCAGGCAGTACTCTGTACTCAACATCATCATCCCCGTTAATTTCCTCACTTCTCCCCCAAATCTCTTTCCCTTCCAAATGAATTTGTCCCAGACACTAGAATTCAAGGTCTTGGATCTGGCTTAACAAATCATGGCATATGAATAGAATGGAACATTTTTGTGCTTTAAGAAATGACAAATATGAAGAAATCACAGAAAAATGGAAAGACTTGAATGAACTCATGCAGAGTGAAGAAAGCAGGCTCAAGAAAACATTGTCCAAAATTAGTATAATGATGGAAATGGAAAGAAAAATCCCCTAAAAGTCCTCTGAGCTCAGATGAAATGCAATAAACAGTTTAGTTTCCAAAGGATAGGAGACAAAATGTATTTATTCATACTAAGAATAGTATTAACATGCTATTATGCAATATGGTCTATGCAGTAAGAATAGCTAGCATTTATGTTGCACCTACTATGTGCCAGGCACTGTGCTAAGTGCTTTACAAGCATTATCTCATTTGATACTCACAACAAACCTGGGAAGTAGGTGCTATTATCTCCATTTTACAATGCAGGAAATGGAAGCAAGCAGAGGCAAGTGACTTCCCCAGGACCACACAGTATTTGTCTCTTCTTGTCAGAAGAGTGGGTGACTATGGACATAGAAGGTAAAATATGTAGAGGTGTAGTGGATATTAAGAGTCAGCATGACAAAGGCTGGAACTCATGCCTCATCCACTAGCTTGTGGTCTCTGAACAAGCCAAAGTCTTGTTAGAGAACTGTCAAGGCCTGAGTTTCCTCATCTGTAAAATGAGTGTGCTAGACTCAATGATCTCTAAGTTTCTTTACAATTCTAAATCTATGATCCTGGGATCCTATGAGGCATAATTGTTTAGCTGTGTTGGTTGGTTTTGCTTGACTATTTTAGGTAATAATAGTACTTTTCCCCAATATTTTCTCATTTGATCCTCCTAACAATACTGAGAGGCAAGCATTGCCCCTGTTTCACAAATGAGGAAACGGAGGCAGACAGGCTCAGTGATTTGCCCAGGGTCCCTCAGTAAGTATCTGTGGCCAAACTGACCTCAAGCCCTCCTGACTCCGTGCCCAGTGCCTTATCCACTGTGCCCCCTTGTAGACTTTGTTATTACAAAGGAAGGGTCCATTGCCGGGAAGATATTGTCTATTGGGTAGTGACTGTGGAATAAAATGTGAAGGCGGCTATAAAAGTTTAAAAAATAAAAATTTTAGCCACTTCCCCTCCTGAACCACCTTCAATCTTTTTTTTCTTTTCTTTTTTTTCTGATAGAAAACCATGCTAAGTGTTCTCCTTTCCTTGGCTATCTTTGTGACATTTTGTGATGCTCAGTGCAAATATATTGGCTTGGAGATCAATCCAGGGGCTCCAATACAAGGTAAATCTTTGTTTACAACTGTTTCTTGTCTTAGGGACAGGAGGATTTAGTTAGCAGGAAAAGTGGTTGGGGTAAACTTAAATGGCCTATCTGTGTCCATTGGAGCCAAGACCCATGGGATGGGAGTAGTGGGCAAAAGGTGGGAAAAGTGGATTTAATCTAAAGATATGCCAGAGATGGAAAAAAGAGGCAGCTGTCTAAAAACACATGTAAGGTCCTTTCCCCATAATCTCCCTTCTATCACATAATTAAGATTCAGTCCTTGTGTTTTCCATATGATATGGGGTAGTGTGCATTAGTGGTTAGAGAGCTAGGATTGAAATTTGAAAGATCTGGGTTTAAATCCTGCATTTGACACTTGACAAGCTTTGTGATGCTGGGCAAATTATAGCCCTCTCTGTGCCTCAAGGACTCACCTACTTAGTCATTCAATTCATGAAGCGTCTATTAAACATCTACTGTGGGCAAAAGGTTGTGACTACAAAGAAGAAATTAATTATGGAAAGAAAGATGGAAAATAAAGAAATCCTAAAAAAAAGTCCCTGCCTTCAGGGAGCTTATATCTGACCATTGCTCTTCTAACACTTATATTCCCAATTAGTGTATTAGATGTTTCCAGTTGTCACTGTGAATGCTAGGGGAATGATTTAAGGGCTGTTCTTAACTGAATGGTTTGTGAAGCATTGGATGAGATTGCCAAGGGAAACGGTAGGAGCTTCTTTGGAGATCTTTAAAAGTGACCCAGGTTTTCCATTGTTGGAATTGTTTAGTGTGGTACAATTCAAGGTGGCTTTAAGGACTTAGTAAATCTTTTTCTAGAGTCATAAATTGCAATTTAACAGAAGATTTGCACGTGTTCTGTCTTAGGTTGCAGGGATGTTGATGGTACAATGCGTAAGTTTGGCAGTCAATGGCTGTCTGATTGTAACCTCTGTACATGTGATGAAACATCTGGAATAGAGTGCTGCAGCACGTGAGTTCATGGCAGACCCTAAATAGACAAATGTAAAATGACAGAATCTCTGAGCTGGAAAGGATCTCATGTGCTATGGAGTAGAACCCATCTGAGAACTGGAAACCCTTACTCAACAAATGCCCAATAGACCTTTGTTTGAAGGCCTTCAGAGAGGGCAGCTCTTTTTCCTTCTGCAGAGTTCTCATGGTTAGAAAGGTTTCCTCCCATTGAACTTCTTTAAAAAACAGACTCTTCTCAGCCTCTATCCCCAGCTTTCAGCTCTGCCCCCTGAGGCCAAGCAAGTTGAGAAAGTCTATTCCCTCTTCCCTGTGACAGAAGGTTCAGGCTATGATTCCTGTATTTATCTTTTTATGACACTGATTTTCATTCTCTCCATTTTTGTTATCCTGTGAATGTGCCCCAGGTGATAATTTTTCTTCCTAAAGTGTTACTCCCGGAAATGGACATCATATTCCAGATGTGATCCAATCAGGAAAGAGTAGAACAAGACTTTAACCTCTCTAGGGGAAATACTGCATAGAACACTGGGCTTGATGTTGGGAAGACCTGAGTCAAAATCCTTCCTCAGACACATACATGTTATCTGTGTGATCCTGGGCAAGTCACTTGACCAATGTCAGCTTCAGGTTCATTATCAGTTACAAAAGGGGGTTTTGAACTTGGTAACTTCTAAGGTCTATTCTAGTTTAAAATCTAAGAGCTGTTATTCTTTTCTATTTAAATCCAAGATCAGACACTTGTTAGCTGTGTGATCCTGGGCTTTAGTGCACACTAACTAGCACCAAAGACCTAATATGTTCTCATCTGTACTTGTGGGTAGATTGAGATGGCTCATTAGGTGGTTGGGGAGGACAGGTGGTATATGATAAGAGGCTTTCTGGAATAAGAGTAAGAGTCAATAAATTATTCATCATTTCCAAGACCACTCTAATCTTTGCCCAATTTTTTCTACCAACAGGTTGATGAGGCCCATAGGGTATGACACTGACAAGTGCAAGGAAATCTTCAACAAGTTTACCTGTATGTTCACTGTTGTACAGAAAAACAATCCTTCTATAATCTGTAAGGTCACACGGTATATAGGTTTATAACTCCACCTCCTCCTCGAGATCTTCCTTCCAAAGTCATTGCATCCCAATGGAACTTGTCAAGGTTTGAAACAATCGCCCGTTCCTTGGAATTCAGAGCAGCAGGGCCTGGGAACCATGTGGCCATTATGTTGGATCTTCATTACATTGAAAACATTGTCAAATCTTAGGCACACTGATTCAAACCACAAAGTGCCATTTCTGTGGCTTCTGAGATCCTCTGGGCATTTAGATTGTGCCCGTACCTCTTGTAACCTGCTGTCTGATGGATGCCCAAAGAAAATATATTGTCTTAAAGCATGAAATGGATCTGTCCTTTTCTTTTTAAAGAATCAATGTCCAAGTTCATTCTAGAGGTGGGGTCTTTCTCTCTGGTCTTTCTCTGGGACAATTCCTAGGACATACACTCTGGGACTCAAACTGTAAATTTTTTTTGCTTCTACTCACCTTCCAAATATATATTTGAGAATCCTGGGACCTCAATCTTAGAAGAATCAAGATTACAAATAATCCAAGTAACATTGCAGAGATACCTGACAGGGGCAAGGTGGCACATTTACCAGTGATGATGACTTTCAATCGACTAGTATCATAAAATACAACAAACATATATATGGTAGAGAGAATGAGGAGGTTGCTCAGTCAGATAGTAAGAATGAGAGATAGCAGACGGGCAGCATTTCATTGGTATTGTTAAAATAATAACTGAGGGTAGCCTTGCAGCTGGGAAAGTTTCCATAAGACTCCTACTAAGATAGTGTGATATTATATAAAAAGTGATGTATTTGGATTCAGAGAACTTAAGTACAAATCTTCTTTCAGCAATCAATCAAAGCCATCTCTTATACACTTACTATCAATAAATCAACAAGCATGGATTAAACTCTTGCTGTAGGCCAGTTACTGTACTAAATTCTAGGGATAGAATGAAAAGTAAAAATACCTGTGGCATTCCCTCTGGAGCTCACTGTCCAAACACACTTGGCACTGACAGGTTTGCTTCCCAGAGGTAAGAACATTACTTTCTCTATCAGGTTTCTAGGATTAGGGTTGTAGTTTCTATTACTGTTCATGAGCCCCTATCTAGTGTGTCTTCCCATATCAATCAACTATCAGCTTTTAGAAAGGGCATTTACTGAGGAGCTATCGTAACATAAATAGTAAAACATTCTACCAATGATAAATAGTATTTATGTAAAACCAACAGCAAGTATTATTTGAAATGGGGATAAGCTAAAAGCCCTTCCAAGAAGATCAGGAGTGAAGCAAGGATGCCCATTATAACAACTGCTATTCAAGATTGTACTAGAAATTCTAGCTATAGCAATAAGACTGGAACAAGAAATTGAAGGAATTAGAATAGGTAATGAAGAAACAGAACTATCAGTCTTTGAAGATGATAGGATAGTATACTTGGGAAATCCCAGAAAATCAACTCCAAAACTAATTGAAATAATTAATAACTTCAGCAAAGTTGCAGGGTACAGAGTAAACCCACAGAAATCATCAGCATTTCTATATATTACCAACAAGTCCAGCAGTAAAGAATAGAAAGGGAAATTCCATTTAAAGGAACTGTAGACAATATCAAATACTTGGGAGTCTACCTGCCAAGACAAACTCGTGAATTATAAGAAAACAATTACAGTACACTTTTCGCATAAAATCAGATCTAAACAATTGGAAAAATATCAATTGTTCATGAGTAGGTGAAGCCGATATAATAGAAAAGACAATTCTAGCCAAATGAATATACTTATTCAGTGCTTTACCATTCAAACCAACAAAAATACAGTATAGTGCTAGAAAAAGTAATAACAATTCATCAGGAAAAACAAAAGGTCAAGAATATTGAAGGAATTAATGAAAAAAATTGTGAAGGAAGGTAATCCAACTGCACCAGATCTCAAAATGTACTATAAAGCAGTAATTATCCAAACTGTCTGTTATTGACTAAGAAACAGAGTGGCGGATCAATGGAATAGATTAGATACACAATAAATTGTGGCGAATAAGAGTAGTAATATAATGTTTGATAAACTGAAAGATCCAAGCATTTTGGACAAAAACTCATTATCTAACAAAAACTGTTGGAAAAACTGGAAAACAGTATGGCAGAAACTAGGTATAGATCAACCTCTCACAACATATACCAAGATGAGGTCAAAATGGGTATGTGAGTTGCACATAAAGGTGATACCATAAGCAAATTAGGGGAACATGTAATAGTTTACCTGTCAGATCTTGTGATAAGAGAAGAATTAATTAGTAAATTACATATAGAGAGCATTATGAAATGTCAACTGGATAACTTTGATTATTTCAAGTTTGCAACAAAATTAAAATGAAAGCTGGAAACTGAGGGAAAAATTTTTTTACAGCAAGTTTTTCTGATAAAGGCCTCATTTCTCAAATATATAATGGAGTCAAATTTATAAAAATATAATTCATTCCCCAATTGATAAATGGACTAAGGATATGAACTGGCAGTTTTCAGACCAAAAAAATCAAAGTTACCTATAGTTATGTGAAAAAATGCTTTAAATCACTGTTGATTAGAGAAATGCAAATTGAAACAACTATCAGATACCACTTCACATCTATCAGATTGGCTGATATGTCAAAAAAAGGAAAATGATAAATGTTGCAGGAATATGGGGACACTGGGCTACTAATGTACTATTGGTGGCATTGGGAACTGATCCAACCATTCTGGAGAGCAATTGCGAACTATGCCTGAGGGGCTATAAAACTGTGTGTACCCAGCAATACAACTAGTAGATCTGTATCCTAAAGAAATTTTAAGAGAGAGAGACAGCACCTATTTATACAAAAATATTTATAGCAAGTATTTTTGTGGTGGCTAAAATCATACATATCCCTTGACCAAACAAAATTATTGTGATGGAATACCATTGTGCTTTAGGTAATGTTGAGAAGGTTGCTCTCAGGTAACCATGGAAAGACTTACATGAACTGATGCTAAGTGGAATGAGCAGAGCCAGGAGAATATTGCACACAGTAACAGTAATATTGTATAATTATCCATTATGAATAACTTAGCTATTCTCAGCAACACAAAGACCCAAGACAATTCTATAGGAGTTATGATGAAAGGTGCTGTCCGTCTCCAGAGAAAGAAGTGATAGAGCCTGAATGCAGATCAAAGATATTTTTTCTTTATTTTTCTTGGCTTTTTTTTTTGGTCTGTGCTCATTTTTATAAAATGACTTGCTTAGAAATGTGTTTTGCATGACTACACACATATAACCTATTTCAAATTGCTTGTCTTCTCAATGGAAGGGGAGAGAAGGCAGAAAATTTGGAGCTCAGAATTTAAAAAAAATGTTAAGGGGCAGCTAGGTGGTGCAGTGGATAGAGCTTTGGCTTTGGAGTAAGCAGGACCTGAGTGAAAATGTGGCCTCAGACACTTGACACTTATTAGCTGTGAGACCCTGGGCAAGTCACTTAACCCTGACTGCCTCACCAAAAAAAATGTTAAAATTGTTTTACACATATTTGGTTTTTTGTTTTTGGTTGGGCAATGGGGGTTAAGTGACTTGCCCAGGGTCACACAGCTAGTAAGTGTTATGTGTCTGAGGCTGGATTTGAACTCAGATCCTCCTGAATCCAGGACCAGTGCTCTATCCACTGCACCACCTAGATGCCCCCGTTTCACACAGATTTGGGGAAAAACAAAATATTAAATAAGATTTCTTAAAAAAGAAACAGAAAGACTTCAGTTTCCAGGGCAAAATTTGAAGTTTCATAAAGCATCAACTCCATGGCATTCCTTGAATTTTGTCTTACATGTCGGCAGAAACCCTAACTTTAGGATTCTGATCGGCTCCAAGTTTCCTGTTGTTCTCAATTCTTGGATATCAGCACTTGTAATTGACCAATCCAGCCTTTACATCACCTGTCTCACCTCACCTAATTCAAACCACATTTTCACCTACTCCAGGGAATGATTACCCTTCTGCTCAGCTTGTAATATCCCAGTCAGAAGATCTTCCCTTATTATGGACTCGTACTAGTCTTGCCATTAAATAATAGATTTTAAAGTTCAAAGAAATCACAGCAGCTACTAGTCCAATTGGTTCATTTTACATATGAGGAAACTGAGGCCCAGGAAGCCTTAAATGACTTGTTTATGGTCACACAGCATTTATTAAGCACTTATTATTTGCCAGGTACAAGGACTGGGAATACAAATACAAGCAAAAAGAAAGACAGTCTTGGCTCTCAGGGAGCTTACATTCTACAGGGTGTGGGGTGGGTAGGGAGACAACATATAAGAGGGAGCTGGAAGGGTTAATGGGATGGGGAAGGGAAGGCACCTGCTCTGGGCCGTGGTAGAGCACAATATCTAGAGAGTCAGAAGGGGAGCTCAGAGAGGAATGAAAGAATGAGCATGGCTGGCCAGCACATTTTCCTTAAAATGGAGGCTAGAGGAAGGAGACACGGGGAAAAAAGGTATCTTTCAGAGTGCCAAGGCTGCTGGAGTGGAGTGAATTCCAGGGTGAGAATACCACTGGTTATGGTGGAGAAAGAATTCTGGAGAGCCTGGAATGGAGGGACAAAGAAGTAAAAGTCTACCCCCTCTCACTTTACAAATAAGGAAACTGGGGTTCACCGAAGTTAAGTGACTTGCTTAGGGTGACACCATGAAATATATTGTGCTCCTGAGTGATGGAGGCAAGATTGGAACCCAGGCCTTCCTGGCTCCATCTCCATCATTCTAAATACTATTCCATGCTACAAGTGTTCAAACTCAAGAAATCCATATTTCTGTCAGGTATGAGCCTGACAGTCCTCATATAATATTCCTATAAACAGTTTTTGTAAGGCCACATCTGTTCCCTACATATGTACTTTGTATTCATTGTATTTTCAGTGTGACTCCATTCTACCCAGGGACCTTTTGTGGGTGAAAAGGGAGAGTATGCTCCTGCATTGATGGTGGAGTGTTTCACTTGAGCCTTCCCTTCTAAGGTTACTTTCCTTCTACTCTGTATCTATCCTGTATCTACTTATGTATTTTACATACATATATACATACATACATACATAATTATATATATATATATATATTCATATATATTATTGTAAGTAAGGTGAATTATAGTGTGTGTAAAGTGGATTTTTTGTTATTCTTTCTTAGAGTTTTCTTCCCAGGATCCATAACCATAATAATCTCTACTTCCCAGGTGTTAGATATGAGTTTTCACAATCATGGTTCAAAACACCTCTACGTTGCTTGCACAGCATAT